CTCGAGGTTCTTCACATTTTGGAGGGAAGAGTGATCCAAATATAGTAGACTGTCTCAATGGCCTCTTCTACTCTAGACTTTCTAAGCTCATTGGCATTGCCATTTTGAAAGATTGATTGCACAACCACCAAGTGAGGATCGGTCGCTTACTAAGGGACTTGAAGACGACTAAAAATTGTAAGGGAGTTTTGGATTGTGCTGACCTCATCAATTGCAAATGCGCAAGGTCGAGTCACCTCGGTAGTAGAGCTGTACCCAAGTTCAAATCACAACAAGCTACACAGAACCTCTCAACAGGATGAGATTTGAAGCGTATGTGTCACACTTGCTAATTAGGTAGATTCAGATGAATAGAATTAGAGTTGAATTAAGTTAGTTAGATGAACAATCAAAGTTGAATCAGAAAAATTAACTTGGATGAAAATATATTTGGATGAAATTCTATACTTAAATGAAAACTTGTTAAAGATGAATTTTTAATTAAAATAAAAATAAGTAAATAAATAATAAAATTTTATTATTATTATTAATTAAAAAATAAAGAATTTTTAAAGATAAATTAAATATATTATTTATTTATTTATTTTATTTATTTATTTATTTTTTATTACATAGCTTATAATGAATTGCTATCACAAGTATTAGTTGTAGTAAAGTTTTTTGCTTGATTATTTGGTTGATTTAAGGATGTTACAAGTAATTTGATTAAGATTTAAATAAGGGCTAAATTTCTAAGGTTTTAAGATTTAATTCACTTGTTGTAAACAAAAAATAAACCTCCAATTAGTAGATGTTTATTTTAGATCACAAGAGACTTTCAATGTTTGGTGATTTTATAAGAGGTAGGATTAACTCCTAATGGTGTTCCAAATGTTTTATATGAAGGAAGTTATGAAGGCTTCAACAAAAATCAAATTATAAGGTGGTCTTATTATCCTGGTATGGAACACTATTGATGGTTGAGAGGACTTATCAACCAACTTCAAATAGAATAAAGATTAGAATATGTGGCAAATATAATGTGCTATATTTTAGATTTTCTCAATATATGATGATTGCTCTTTGTAGAATTTATGCTTAGAAGACGAAGTAATGTCACAAATATACATATTTATTTTAATATTAACCTATATGATTAAATAGAAGTAAGTAAAAATAGATTTATTTTATAGTATCTTTTAAAAAAGCTTCCTAGAAACTTCATAGATACTACTTTGAGTTTATATGTATTTGTGGTTGATTGGTAGATTAGAAACTTAGTCAATAAATTAACCACATGTTGGTGGCTTGCAAAACAAGCTAACTATGTGGCACACATGTAGAAAACTTGCCTTATAAGTTAAAATACATATTTTGCAAAGTCAACACATTTTGGAGATTCTTTAGGACATTACTATATAGCTCCTAGTTAAGAATATATATAGAGGTAAGAGTGAAGCCTTCTTCACTCATGTCAATATCTTTCTAGTCTTTAGTCTCATTTCAAGACATTTTAGTCTTCTTGACTTTGGCAATAGCCATTCTAGTTTAATATTATATCATCTTTGAGTGATTTTTTAGTCTTTTCAAGTCATAAAAGAGTGTATTGACATTTTAGTTCTTTGAAATTCATGTCCTTGACAATTGGTGCAATTGAAAACATCAAATACGATCAAATAGAGTTAGCTTGTCACAAAATAGTAAACTAAAAGTTACACTTATGAAAGTGACTAGAAAGAAAAATTGAGCACAATTGATGGAATCGTAAAAGTTTGCAAGAATATAAACCATCATATGCAATCAAAACCATCATATACAATTAAAACTATCAAATGTAATCAAAATAGTAAAATAGAAACCATCAAATGCGATTGAAACAATAAGACAAGTAAGACAACCTATTATTACATTGGTTTGCTGGATGAAATTATATATATCAGGAAGTTTAAAATACCTTGTGAATTCTATGAATTTCCTAGAATCAACCATAAAATGTCATGTGGACTCTAGACAGCATTAAGTTTTTTGATAAAAAGCAAGAGGGATGCATGCAATGAAAGCACGCCACCACTAGTCTCCTTGAATAATCTTAATATATAGATTTATATATTTAGCAATAATAAATAGATCCATAAATAAAGGATGTTGTTAATGCCACCACAACTTCTCATCTATCTCATGTCATTACAATTTTTAATTAATGCTACCACAAGCTACCCTAAATTTGTATTGCACATCATAGTATATTTTATGAAATATTGCTAATGCATACCACAATGAATAAAATGCACATTCTTTATAGATGTGTATTTTAATATCTATAAAATATAATTTAATATACAACATAAGTTTAAGACAACTTATAAAAACTTCAATAAAAACTTTGATGATATTTGATGGATAGCAAGTTGCATAACAAAATGGCAATAGAAAAAAATGAGTGCCAAGATGCACCAACAAAATCCTAAAAAAATAATCAAGTACAAACATCCATATGTATCTTGAAGCACTTTTAATCATTTATTGCAGTGATAAAGAAAATTATAAATAAATAAATAAATAAATAAATAAAATTGTGCATACTTATTAAAAGGTTATGATACTTATCACTTTAAATTCTTTGATAATTTCTTGCATTCTTTTACTATCTATTTTTTACAATGATTTGTAAAATATCAAACAAAGAAAAGATTATTTAAAAACAACTTCTATTAACAATCATTATATTATTCTATGTTTAATTTTATATAAGATGTTGGTTTGGGCATTTGTTTTTTTTTTTGGTTTATGTATTTATTTTATTTTTAGGCTATTTATTTCATTGTTCAAATGTTAGTAATTGAAGTTGAAAATTTTCAAATTTAAAAAATATTTTAAATCAAACAATGCAAATATAGATGTATTGATAGTGTTATGAATGTCTAATATTTGATATCATAAAACTTTTTCTTAAACTGATTCGAAGATAGTTTTAAGTTAATGTATGAATGCATGTATCAGTGAGTATATATGTACATAACTTAAATCTTGAAACATATATTGTATATGTTGTAAGATTCCTCCAGAGATTTTGACCAATCATGAAGTCTGTTGAGGTTTTACTTTTAAATCATAAAAAATACTAAAAAATCACTAATAATTTGATGTATGTCCATTTACCATAATATATGTGTGAAGTATTTTTTTTTTGTATAAAGCATGTATACTCATACATTGTTCATGTGAAACAGGCTAATATTTCACTTTCAATTTTTGTTTGTCATCAAAACAAAATAAAAATGTAAAAATTTAAACACGTGTTTCTTAGTACTCTAAATTTTAGTATTAACATATAAACCATCAATATGCATGAAAATTATAGTGTGCACAAACAGAATTTTTTTGTAATTTGTTTTTGAACTTTTAATGCATAAAATACATATGAAAAGTAGCAATGCCTTGCAATAATGTATATATATATATATATATATATATAGATAGATAGATATACATACACACAAACATAATTTACTTATTTATTTCAAAATTTTACAAACCTTTGAGAACTTTTATCTCTATTAGGCTATATTTTATTCAATATGCCACATTTATAGTGCTTTAAAAGAGCAATCTTGGGCCTATCCAAAGACTTAATGAATGTGCAAATTATGTGCCTAAAAAAATCATTTAATATTATATTATTAAAATAAATAAATAAAACTAAATAAAAAATATTAGTACCCACAAGCATATAGATTATGTTATATACTCTTTTAATTTTAATTTTTCCAATTCGGATTGTCAAATTTTCTGCATATCTTATCTTCCTATCTACTATAAAAATTCTAAAATTCAATTTATATTCAGTAATTATGATGTTCGTTGTTTTATGTCCAAATCATTCATTCACTAATTTCTACTACAGATCACAAATAAATTACAACTTTTAATATAGACTTCTACCTACCTATCTAATTTTACAAACTCATATTTAGAATTTGAGTAGTGGATCCTTCTAACAATAATAAATTTTGTTTCCCTCTTATATCTAGTTTTGTGCAATTTCTATCCTTTGAAAAACCTCAAAAATTTGGTCTTTCCTCAGTTTACATAGAAACACAAATACGATTTTTTCTTAATGGACATGAAATACAAAAAAACGTGTTATTCATCCAAAATGTAACAACCACATCTTGGGTCTTCAAAACATCTTACCATCATTTATTTAATTAATTAAGTAAATAGGTTAGAAAACACTACTACATAAAATATACTTTAAAAAGAACTTATTCATATATCACATTTTTTACATGATTATAAATTTTTTATTGAGTAGTGAAAATATAATTCTTTTACAATCCACAACAATTAAGAATAGAAAATAAAAATTCAAGAAGAAATAACCAAACATATAAAAAATAACTATTATTACTATTTAAATTAAACAAAGGTTGGTTTGGGAACGATGTAATATGGACCATGTTAAATAGACATTGCTTCTCATGTTCTAATAATTGGAGCTTGAATAAAACTTGTCAAGAAGTAGAGTGCTTTTCAGAATACTGTTGTGGTATTTGGTTTAGATCGAAATATTTAACCTTAGTCTAATTGATGCTTGGATGAGCTAAACAGAACTAGTATAAAATACTCCATTCCATTGTGTTGTATTTTTTTTACTCTGGAATCTATATAAACCAACAGAAAGGACCAAATCCAAATGGTATAAGAACATGCTATACTTGTAACAAGATTTCGTCTAGCCCTAGATCCATTCTAAGCTATTCACATATCCCATCAACACATTGTTCCACTCAATCTGAGCAGCACAAAAGAAACTCTAGTAGCTTTTATCAATATCTATCGCTCAGGGAGATAAACAGGTAAGACAAAATATGGTTCTCATCGGCTACATGCACCCCTCATTGTTTTCATCAAAAAAGTTAACGTTGTGTGGAGTTCATAGGGCCTTCTACGATTGATTGAATCAAAAGACTACGTAGTCCTGGATTGCTGGTGATAGCATTGGAGCGGCAGATAGGGGTTAAGCAGGATAAAATAGCGATGAAGCTCATAATTTTCTGATTTATTTCAAGCTCAAGCGTAAGAGATACTTGATTTGTACTTTTGATCTGTTGCATATTGGAAATTTCGACTATGATGCATGCAGAAGAGAGTGGTATCTCAATCAGAAGAGAGTGATACTTATATGAAGAATTAGTTGGGTAGGTAGAGGTTATTTCATGTTACCAAGTCTCTGTTTTAGTGATTGAGTTGCGGTGAATGAAGCTAAGCGGAGTGGATTCACACCGTGTACAAGTTTTGTGTTTCGGGTAAGAGCAATAATTCATACAATTGTGTTTCCTGATAATTTCCACTCCGCACAATTAACTTCAGTCTCTCATTGTTGTTCTTTGTTCACGGATTCATTCATGTCATGATTGTTAATGTTATTTTTCCTGCTGTTCTTATTCATTGTCCATTTAAAATTTACCAGTTGTTATTTACTCAGGATGACGTAGGGAGAGGGAGTTCACACGAGGAAAGAAATCGGACTTTTCGCTATAAGCAACCCCCTCCTCCTTCAGTCATCAAAGGTTGTTCATGTGAGGCTCCCATTGCCATAAAAATCCGTGCTCTGTGAATTAATCCTTCCAAGAGCCTAGGCCTCTAATGAGCAATGCCATTGCAATTCGATCAACAAAATTACTGTATCTTTATTGTAATTTATGTTCTGCACCATTTGTGCTCTGTTATTGCTGCAAGAAAGTGGCGATTACAGGGCAATCAGTACTTTGGTCATGTTCCAGACTGCGGTGAGGTCCTCAGCGGAAAGTTTGATGTTTTCACTAGGTCGATCTGTGAATTTTTGTTTTTGAGATACTTATCTTGTCTTATTTGGTACTCACCTTACCATTCCATGCTGTTTACCAGTTTAACGACATCGTGAACGGTTTCTTCTTTTCACCGATAATTGTCTCACTCATCGTATCTGGGTTCCTAGAAAACACTATCACCAGGCATGTATCCAAGAAAGAAAGGGATATGCCGTAGATGCGGAAGTTTCGAGTCTTCAACTATGATCCACATAGTCAAGACACATTGCTTACAAACAATCGGGAGGTGTCTTACATGTAAGACTTGGGTTCGAGTTCTAGAAGACATTCAGGAAGAGAACTCTTTGAACTGGAAGTAGCTGAATTTGATCCGAAAGGCGATCACATGCTGTGTCATTGATGCCACAAGTCAAGAATGAGTACAAACGACATTGCATACAAAAGATTTGGAGCTACTACTAGGGTGGCAACCACGGTGAGACGGTGGCAACCTCGGTGGTAAGAGATTCACAACAAAGAACTTTTGCTAATTTTAGAAGGGTTCACTTTAGTTGTGCCATTCAAATTGTGTCCCCGCATTCTTATCGATATCACCAAAGTCAATTTGAGCACCAATGTCTTGGGGTTCAACATCTTTATGCCCATCATGGTTGCTCCCACTGCAATGCAAAGGATGGCTAACCGCGACGGTAGCTGCTCTTCTCCCCATCGCTGCAAATTCTGAATTGCATCAACGACGTCTTTCTCTTCAAATTTTGTGAGTTAATATGATAATGTGATTTTGGTGCAGGCAAATTTCCTATTGCCAACGCCACTTTTAAGGCCAATACAATCATTTTGTTTCCAGTGATCGTAAGATTATTTGTACAATCACTGGAAACAAAATTAGTTTTGTAAACACGAGAGTGGTGTGTAAACACGAGAAGTGAAGCCCGTAAAGATTTTGCTACGGGACATGGAATTGATGCAGCGCCTGGTTAGGAAACGGAAGAGTTTGAGGATGGGTGGCGTACATATAGTCACTTCGGTGGTGTAAATATAATTGTTGGATTATTTATCAACACGCCTGGTCTGTGATCTGTGCCACTATGTTGGTTTCTCTTTAATATTTAACACCTCTGTTGGAGGTGATCAGAAGTGCTTCTGTCATACAATGTTCAAAATGAGTTCATTTCTTTTTTTGTAGACATGAAATTAATGTTCGAAACTTGAAGCAAAATTCTCTTTAACTACAATTACTTAATGGTGTCAAAAACTCAGAGCAACTGCAAGGATACATCCCAATGGTGCAAAATACTATCCATTTCCAGAACATTTCACAGTTTCCATCAAAAAATATTTAGACTATGGATAGACTCTCTCTAAGTCTCATCAAGGTAGATGCATAACACACACAATGGAAATTACAGGTTCTCGAGATTACACATGTTGAACACAGGTAATATAATCACATGTGTTATGCGACTAGTCAGATTCTCTAGATTCCGTGACAACCATACGAGTTCAGATGGTTCCTTTTATAAAACAGCTCAGGGATAACCCAGAGGGCAGAAACACCATCTTTGATTGGCAGCATATCTCATTGTTTTTCATTGTTTTTCTGTTGCTGCAGATTGCCGAGAGTAGTGCTGCGAGATCACTAGTTGTGGAGCTCGGAATCAGCACAACGTGGAACAACATGGAGTTTTATGTCAGCTTCAAACAAAAGGTTAATTTACAACACTTAGTTTACAATAGTTTAAAATGTTTTATGGTGGCCAACGACACCGGTTTACACTAGTATCTTACAGATGGGCTTAGATTCGTCACTGGCTACAGCAGCGGAATGGCTGTTCTCAATTCTGATGTCGCGGTTCGGCTATTCCCCGCACTTCGAAGTGAAGGGCCATTGCACCGTAAGGCTCAGTTTGGATGAATGTAACTAAAGCAAAAACATCTTTGCTGTGAAAGGTAGATTTCGTTCTTGCTTTGAGTCGTCTTGTTTTGCTCTTGCGATTAGATTATGGTAACGACGATTTGTAGTAATTTTGCTTGCTGACTTCGACTTTCTGAAGTTCTTCGCAGTGCTGTTGGAGGAGTGAGTGATGAGCATTCTCGTCGCGTTAGGGTTACTGTGTTGTCCTCTTTTGAATTGGAAGGCCGTGTTTCCCTGTCGGCGATCTCTGAAGTGATTGTAATCGTTGGTGTGGTCTATTGTACACGCTGCTGTGGGAATCGATTCGGCAACACCTGCTTGCATTTTTTGTTACTGAGATTCGAAGAATAGTGCACTGCATGTGTTTTCAAGGCTACATGAAATGCCGCCGAAGCAATCATCTATTTCTCATTCGAGGCAATCCGTTCTACTACCCGCGAAGAAAAAGCAGAAGAACCAAGACCGAAGCCGGTTTTGTCCGTGCCCTGTTTGCCACGTATCGTTCCCTACTTATTTCATACATGAGCATGTCAACCTTTGTCTGGATAGTCCTGCAACTGGCCATAATTTTCCGTCGTCCCCTTCCTCTAGCCTTCCGTCTTCCTCTTTACTCAATCCGCAGAAATTGCATCTGATCAGTAACGATTCCGGTCGGATATGCTCGAATATGGTTGACGAGGATTCTGTTTCGAGGGAGAGGGTCGAAAGTTTCCCAGCCGAACAGGATTGCACCAATTCTCCACTTGCATTCCTAAACTCTACAACAACATTGATCTCAAATGGATCATCCGGAGAAAATAGTGAGCTTTGTGTGTTGGGTAATTCTGCAGATGAAACTGTAAGAGAGAGAGACGCTAAGATATTACAGGATGGAGCATTTTACTCTTACCAGAACACAGAAGGCTGTCATCAGACGAATCGCCTGAGTTCAGAATCCGGTTTTATTCAGAATCCAAAAGCTGCCGAATTCCTTGCTCCAGAATTGTGGCAAAGGGACCATTTCAATTCTCACCGAATGGCTGACTCAGACAAAGGAATAGAGAGGGAAACGCAGAATGGAGTTACCTACCCTGGAGAAGATATCTCTGGGGAGCGGAGCTTGGTTTTGCAGATATTCCAGGTGAACAACGGGAGTGAATTTCTCCTACAACATTCTTGTGCCGATTATTGCAATTGTCATTCTCTGATGAAGTATGACTGGTTTATTTATGTTTAGGTCCAACGGCAAAGTCAAGCTAAGCTATCTATGCTGTGCAAGTTTCCGATGACATCTGCAATGGAGCGGAAGTCCACGGTCACTATACTGCAACCTGGGTAAGTCAGGTACCCTAAAACCCTAAACCCAAGTTATTTATTTTTTTTTTAAAATTCCAATCGATAAAGGTCGAGAACTTTCTGATACTTTCTCTAAATGCACTGCACAACAGAATGGTCCTACTGCGGAGTTGGCTCTCTTTGGACATTCAACAGAGACTTGTTAATGAAAGTCAAAGTGCTGCCCACTTGTTCAAGCGACCTACAACAGCTAGTGGGGGCAAGTATCATCTTTGGCAGGTATTTTGCGATGATCCGAAGAAATTTTGTAGAATTTCTGTGATCTTACATGAAAATGGTTCCAAGTTTATAGATAGTAGCCGGGTTGTGTTCTGGATAGTTTTCTCCTGTATGGTAATTTTAGGAGTGTGTGAGAGCAAGTTAATGAAAAGGGATAATTATTGCGTGGATGGTTTTCAGATGGCCTTCGGCTGTTCGTGGGATTCAAAAACAAGACGCTACGCTGCACCAGAGCGGGGTCTGCGGTTTCCAGTCTGGATGTACGACCTTGGAAGAGAGCTTGCATTTGATGCACAGAAACACACCCCTGTCTATGCTCAAGGTTCAAACTTTGAACCTGATGTAGCACTTGTGAACTTCTATCCTGTAAGTTGTTACCCCTTTAATTTCGATCATTAGTGCTTTCTGTTGTTATTGTCTAGTAGTGGGGACATGGCAGGCAGTATGAAAATTTAGTCAGCAGATCACTCTAGTAACCTGCATGTGGACACGAGATTTTAGGTCTTTCCCAAGCTGTTAATGTACACTTTGAATAATGGCAACCGTTTTCATGATTCAAGATTTTTCCTGTTGAGAACCATTATCAAACTTTCCAATGATCTTCGTAATGGCGGACGCACTTCCAGGCCAAAGATGAAGAGCTTGGGGTGGTGGGACTGGGGGGTCACCAAGATCTGGATGATTACTGTGACATGCCTGTGGTACGTCTGCCGTCTCTTTCGGAGGTTCTTGGTGATTCTTTCCTTCGAGTTGATTGCTTGATGTTGGAGAATTGAACTCACGGTATTTATCGTCGATTACAAGACCTTGTAAATGTCTTTAGCAGTTCCAACAGCACTGCCACAACGTGACCTGACATAATAGAAGAATTTTGTGATTTTTTGGTATGTTTCTTAAAGACAGGACGAAACAACCTTTACGTAACACGTCAGTCGTATGGTTTGCGTGCAGGTCAGTGTCAGTGTGGGAGACAGCATGACATTTTTCTACAGGCGGTTCCCGCCTCAAAGTCGACGTAAATCTGGAGTTCAGATTATCGTTGATGAATATGCTGCACAATGTTGCAAGGATGGTGATACAGCTCATAACAGGTAATTCTCATGGACCTCTCCAAATACTTCATCTCTTCTGTAATCGTCTATACCAGCCTCGATTGTGAACTGTTGCTGATTTTTATATTGGTATTCAAACAGACTTTTCATTGGCTCGCCCGCTAAGTCACGATCGGTCATGTATGTGTCTTTGGCGTGGTTTCGTGTGTTGCTTGTATTGGTGGCAGTCGGAGGTTCTTCCTTTTGCGTCCAAACGATAATTACTTACTTGCTTTCATTCTTATATTAATCTCTGCAGTGAGAAGAAGATTATCTTAGCGAGTGGAGATGTGTTGGTTTTTGGCGGAGAATCGAGGCTGGTGTATCATGGAACACGCTGTGTTCAACCTGGCACAAGGCCGCCAGGCTTGCACATGGCACCCGGTCGTTTGAATTTCACATTTCGACAATGCAATGCACCCATGGCCTAATTACTGCTGTCACTCATGCTTTGATTGCAGAGCACACACACACAGGACTAGGAAAATATTGTATATATGCAAACGCTTCCTTTCATTTGAAGCTAGGTGTTAGTCTCACATCATACACATACACATTGAGCATTCTTCAGTGTTTTAATCTGTGAGGTTTGAAATCCAGTTTCGTAAGATTAGCAACTGGGGATCCTTTGAGGAGAACAAGTCAGCATCTCAACCTTCTATAGATTACCAAGTTCTGGCAGAGAAGTTTAGACTTTGGTTCGATCCAGAATCTCTAATTCGATCGAACTAAGTTAAGACTAAAGTTCTATCCAATTCAGCTGGAATGTATGCGTGCATTATTAGTTTTCACTCTTGTAACAGTTTCATACCAGAAATATCACACATCAACTATTTTCTGGACTTGAATGTTGAACCTCATCTTTTGCTTGCTGAACCCTCGGATTTGCCCAACACTGTCTATGTAGCATCCACTCAAACATTACAGCATAACGCACGGATTTGGTCAAAGCGTTAAAGTAAGACCCCTGTTTATGCTTTGCCACTAATAGCTCTGAGCTGTATGATCTAATTATCACGCGGACGCAGAGTCTATGTTCTGACGACCATCGGTTGGCTGTGGTGCGGCACACGACCTTGAGTCGGCAACCATGCTTACTTCGGAGAAGTGGAACCCACGACGCCCGACCTCAGATCGTGTCTATCGTGAGAAATTCGTTTCTTGCATCTGCCTTAAATTGCGATAACAGTCATTTCGGGTTGTAATGCCGTGTTTCGCAAGGAGCATTGTTTGGGTTTGGAACTAGTTCCTGGTGAGGCAACCAGCAGTTGCTGACTGAGAAGGTATTCTCGTTTTGCGCAGAGAAGTGTAGTGTGAAGAATTATTTTTATTTTTAGTTTTATCTTTTTCGTTTTAATTCTCGATTCCGGTATCGTGTGTGGTTTCCTGGGTTGATCCCGCGTGCAATTCTTTTCTAGATATACAATATTTTGGAAGCATTTTATGAGCATCACTTAGATTCCACGTTTTTTTCAAGGTGAACCGTGACCCAGTGCGAGGTTTGAGTCTTAGATCTGGAGCTCGGAATTGATCTTTATGTCTTTGGGATTCAGGGTTTGGGAAGACTTGATCATCTGCATCCCTATCTCTGGACAATGGTGGTGGATTCCAAGCGCTTCAGCTGAGTCATACGCCATGGCGTAGATAATTGAAGCCTTTCATTGGAGTTTCCGCAGTGTGCTTAAACCATCTCGCAGATCTCCAACTTTCCACTTCTGGTCGATTGAAGACGAAGGTTGTTATTGCTGAAATCTTGTGAGGGTGAAACTCGCGAGTTATACGAGAGGATAGAGAGACGGTTGGTGGACAGGAAATGGGGTGCACATGGTCAGGGCTGGATGCTCTCTATGGGGCTGTCGGTAGTGGTGCAGAGGTTTTCGTGAACAAGAGACGGTTCAAGATTCAACGGCAGCTCGGGGAGGGAGGATTTGCATTCGTTTACCTGGTCAGAGAACTGATACCAGCTGGGCTACAGCCATTGAAGGACTCCGACGATCCAAACCCCGGTTCTGGTATGTTCAAATGCAACGTCTTCTCGTTGCTTGAAAAATCTGCTGCATAGTTTCGTGCAGTGAATGACGACAAACAGAGGTTATTTGAGAGTAATTATATGTTGACGCTAGAGAGTTCCTAGGCGATGCTAGGTCCTTGATAATGTATTCATAGAAGGGTACGGACAATCAATCAAGCCAGGAGAGGGATTAACACAAATCGCAGGGAACGGTTTTGTTTTGTTTTGTTTTGTTTTGTTTTTTATCTGTTTGTTTGTTTTTTTTCTCTCTCTCAGAAAGTTTAAGATTGGTTCTGAGGATTAAAATTCCGAGGGCCAACATGAAGAACTGTAGGTTTCATCATTACATTTTACAACATTTCAAGTTTGAGTTTCACCCTGATATCCAATCTCTTCATCGGTGTAACTAATTACAATATGAATCTGACGTTTTCCCTACTTTTTCAAGGGTGGGAAGGTCATCATATTTTCAGATGGTCTACTTGTATATGTGCTGCCTCCTGTTAATCATCTATGCTTTGGCTATGGCAGAGGATGGGATGTACGCGTTGAAGAAGGTACTGATCCAGTCCGACGAGCAGCTGGAGTTGGTGGAGAAAGAGATTGAAGTCTCATCCCTGTTCAACCATCCAAACGTAATCCGGCTTTTAGAACATTCAATCATCAAGGTTGCCAAGGTATGGCTCCGAAACCCAAACTTAGTTTCTTTTGAGAGTTGCAATTGATTCTCCCTGTTGAGGTGCCTAATTCTGTGCATGCCATGAATAGATTCTGAAGCGGTGTAACTGTGACCTTGCAGACTGAATCTCAGCCTGAGCATCAGGAGGGTTACCTGCTGTTTCCAGTTTACCGAGATGGGACACTGCTTGACCACTTAACCCGCATGCAGGAAGCGAAGACATTCTTTCCGACTATCACTGTCCTACACATATTCCGGCAAGTATGTGTTTTGCCCATTCATCAATTTCTGGCTTTTTATTCTAGCAATATGTGCTCAAGCTTGTTGTAGTGTAGTGAGAGTATTATTACTACTGAAATTTTAGAACGCCATTTATTAGACATATATATATATATATATATATATACATGTTTCTTTGAAACCGCTTCTGTGTTTATGTTCGGTTCTTTGTAGCGAAATTGTTTACATCTTCAATTTTCCTAGTTCTCTACGATTCTGAATACAGTCCTACGAATGAAATTAATTACATAAATAAATGTATCTATATATTGCAACACTAGTCCTATTTAACACCTTCAATGACCCAGATCTGTGCAGGATTAAAGCACATGCACACTCATGGCCCACCATATGCTCACAATGACATCAAACCTGGAAATGTGTTGGTAAGCCTTCCGAAAAATGCGCCTCCGGTGGCAGTGATCATGGACATGGGTAGTGCTAGACCAGCTCGAAGGGAATTGCGAAATCGGAAAGAAGCATTGGCCTTGCAGGTACGACACTGTTGCAGGAGTGTATATTCTCATGCTTTGAAGTTATGCAGCTTTAAAGCTATCAATTAAGCATGGATGGATAGCCTCAGAACGTGATTTCTTGTGGCCCTTGGATTATGTTCATGCATTGTGATGCAGGAATGGGCATCACAGCATTGTACAGCTCCTTATAGAGCACCCGAGCTTTGGGACGCTCCTAGCGATGCTATTTTAGACGAGCGCACAGATATTTGGGCTCTTGGGTGCACTCTCTATGCTCTAATGTAAGTATGGCTACCTCTTAATGGAATTGTGATGACTGGGTTTTTTTTTCTTGTAGTAGCTTGTGCGCCAGAAATAAGAAACTAACTACTCAAGGATGCGACAAGTTTGAATTGTTGGAGTTAGAAGTTTCTGTTTCATCAAATGAAAAGTTCCCTATTCCTTGGTTTGCAGGTATGGTATTTCACCATTTGAGTATGCGCTGGGTGAGCAAGGTGGAAGCTTGCATTTGGCTGCAATGAGCGGAGTGTTGAAATGGCCCCCAGGACCTAACCCATCTTACCCAGATTCACTCCACCAGTTCGTTAAATGGATGCTGACACCATCCGTTGCATCACGGCCTTTCATTCAAGACGTCTGTATCCATGTTGATAAGCTCATTTCCAAGTTTGACTCCGACGCACGAGGTCTTTGGCATTTGAAGGGGTAACGATAGCATATAGACCAGTGTAGAATCCCAGATTCTTTTAGCTTCTTAGTAGAACAAATAAGTCAGTCTTTGTATGGAATGTTTAGTTCTCAAGGAGCAGCGTGCAGAGGAAGTTTTCCCTCCCGGATCTTAGTATGACGGTTGTGTAGGAATTTATGTTTATAAGATTATGATGGGTCCAAACTGCATTTTTACCGAATGTAGTGCTCCGTAAGATTTGTTGGTTATATGAGAGAGTTTACCTTGATGCAAAGTCTATTTTAATATAGTTTGACAATGCTAGGAGCATGTTGGGCCCTCAAAATGGTATGTGTGCTAAATGACATCTTCGAAACGAACGCTGAGGAGCTCCAACATCAAGTTGACTTCCAATCATGTACAGAACCACACAATCCCCGCTCCAGCTAATGTAAACTGAAACCTCACTACTTATATTGTGATTCGAGGAAGAAATTGGAAAGTTTTTGTGCTCCAAACAGGGGATCAAACACGGTGCGTACTGCTGTGCTAGCAGAGGCTATCCATACGTAGCAGAGGTCTCTCATTTCAATCTTCAACTGTCTGCTGGAAGAGCAAAAGGTACATGAGTTTGGAAAGCTTTTTCACAACGCATAATCGTATCCTGATGAAATTCACAGCGCGCCGCCAAATCAGTAGCTTCGGAATTTGCTTTAGGTGTAGGCCATGATGGGTAAGCAATGTGCACGTTCCGGTGGTGGAAGATAAAAAGTATTGACGTTCAAGCGTTGATTTTGTGTATGGCAAGCCCTGGTTTACAAAACTAACATGTTGCATGATATTACCATTTTCACTAGGTCCCTTTGCACCGTCGTAGCGCCAATGGCAGCAGCAGATAACAGCGACAGTCTTAATGCACCTGGGTACACGCGTCTTAATTTTATCTAGGTGCCACCTTACCATTCAGCTTCCACACTGCGAATTGGCATTCTTGTTAACTACATCGTTGCTAAGCGGAAGGTTTACAACTGTTAAGTACGTTTAAGCGCGTCCAGTCACCATCTCATAATCAACCACGTTGCAAAGAAACCCTTTGGAATAACAACAAAAAAATCTCAAGCAGGTTTCACCGTTTGTTACCCTAGCTTGTAAACATTGTGAACTCCTCTTTGCATGAACTTGTTGGGTGCCTACAAAGCAGCCAGATTACGAACATGTAAGCAGTCACATTCCACTGGAAAGTTTCCCAGTAATCAAGAGATATTCTACCTACATTATTCATGGAGACCTACCACTAACGCTGTTGTGCTGGTATGACTCATTAGGACAATTCTTGAGATTAACTATCTGTGACGAGTGATTAGTTATGAAGAACATCGCGACTGTGTCTCAAAATTAAAACAGTTAAGAAGCTTTCCTAAAAGGCCCGATTGCCAAGGCTGTGTGATACAGAACCAAACTAATTCGTAAGATTGCACACAACACATGTTTCGTAACCCAACACGTTGAAACGGAGAGTGCAATTCATAAAGAAGGTACAGAAAAGGTAGGAATTCATGCTGATGTTGATTGCAAAGATATGGCGTCAAAAGTTGAGGTATGCAGTTCAGCAACAACTTGATGCTGAATATGAAAAAACCTAGTGAGATTCCTATTGGAAAAGTGGCAAGCACTTGTATTGAGCGGTCTTCGTGAAAATCACTACCTCTATTCCTTTGGGAAAAAAAAGGCAGTGATAGCGATCCCAGCACACACTTCACCGACAAAATCACAAACAGTTGCTTCCTACGAATAGCATGAAACCCTATTTCAAGAAGGAGCGAATGGCGGCAACAGCATCCCCCTTGTGTTCTCTCAACGTCCTCTCAGCGACTTTCTTGTCCATCTCTAGCTCGTTGGCAATAATATCCACATCCTCAGGGTTAATTTTCACAGCCGCTAGCTCCTTTTCCCGCAGCCGCTGCGCATTCCGATCAGCATCCGAAGTCGCAGCAATTGAGGCCATCGCCTGCTGCACCCGAGCCGAATCCAGTTGTCTGTCCTCCACATGGTCAGTCAAGGAGTCGAGCGCTTTGCTCTGCTGTTGCAAGTCCTTGGAATCAGGCTTCGCCACTTCAACTCCCTCGTCCGCCATCGCTGCTGCCCTACCGAATCCCCTTCTAATCACTCCAGAATTCTCTTGGCTTTCTCAGACAGCTAATTCCTGACCAAGCACTTCGCGACCCTGGCCCTCTAGACAAAACTAACTATAACTTCAGCTGCGTCAGATTGCCAAGGTCGCTCCGAGGCATCGCTTCTGTCTGCAACTCCGACGCATCGGAAGATTAGGGCTAGAGCCAAATGCAGGTTTTCGTCTACGGAGAACGCGTGCGATATATGTTCCCAATAATGGGAACGTAATTCAACAACTATAACTTTTTTTTTCAAATTCCATGGCAATTATTCATCAACTCGATGGATGCAATATTCTAATCATCCATATATGGACGAGATTTCGTACTCACATCATACCACAATCCAATTGTTGGCCAACGACTTTCGTTCACACTTCCTATATGACTTTTACTTTTTATAAAGTTGAAGTATTGACAAAGCAGACCTCTGGCGCCGATTGGAGTGAAGAGCACACATTATTAACAGGGGCACAGTTACAGTGAGTGAGTGCAGAAGTATTACTACTTTTGTGGATGTTCAGCAAATACCGTAACCTTCGAGCAACCTTGCACAAGCCTTGCCTCGCATCATAGGGCGACGGACGCTACCAGTGATTGTCAAGAAGTCTCACAAGCTGAAGAGTCGGGGGTTTTGCAATCAAGCAAGGGTCATTGCGCGGTCTCGCCGCTCGCGCACTGGACTGGATAGAGCGCACACGAATGCAACGATAGTGGAGTGTAAATTGGTGCATGGGTGGGATTGTGGGGTTTCGGTGAAATTTGAGTTAAGGTGCAGAGGAGCGGAGGTTTTCTTGTGTGGGATTATCGTTGAAGACGGAGGAATTAGGGTTGGCAGGGGAGGAGAGAACCGGGAGGAGGTAGGAGGAGAGGTGGAGCGACGGATGTGGAGGGATTGAGCGATGGTAAAGGTGAAGGGAGTGGAGTGGAACCATGTGATAGTGCTCAAGGAGCCGGAAAAGCATGGCATGGCCACATTGGTGCGGTGCATTCACTGCGACAAGGAGTTTCAGGGGAATGCCATGCGGATCCGAGCGCATTTGCTTGGGAATAAGCGCCAGGCGGGCGTGACAGGGTGCCCCACGGTGCCGGACGACGCGCGCGAGGAGCTGAGACTGATTGAGATTGCGAGGGAGCAGACGCAGAGGAAGCGGAAGCCGGTGAAGACGCGCGGGGTTAGGGGGACTTCCTCGCCGTCGGACCATTCCTCCGGCAGCGCGGACCATTTTGACGGGAAAGGGGGTTCTGGGCGGAAGGGGGGGAGGATCAGCTTGCAACACGAGCTCCTCGCGCGTATGGTATGTGTTGGCATGGAGATGGTGGTATTTGCTTGCAATGCTCGTGTTGCGTGGCGTAGATCTGGGGAGGTTCTAATTGATGGAGTCGGTCTCTTTTCTTTAAACGTGAGCCGCCATATGTTGGTCTAAGCATCTTACCGTTGTTGGTGAGTCCTGGTTTCTGAAAGTAAATTTGAGACGTTGAGACCCCTGTAGTTCTCGAAATCCGGACGTATATCACACGGCATTGTCTGCATGATATGTTTGGTATCCTACAATGCGCAGACTGCAGTTTCGACTATTTCCGTTCACGACGTGATCGGATTAGCACTGAAGCAGCGTTGGTCATCTTCCTAGTGTGCCTTGGTAATGCCGAAGGGTGCGAAATCACGGACTTTTAAGTCTTACAAGAAAGTCCTGACTGAACAATTACACCATGTAGCATTTTGAACCCTGGTCACAACGTATGAAAACACTGTTTTGTATTGGGCTTCTGCAGTAGAGAGCATGTACTTGGTTGGATACTCTGGAGTGGACCGAAACAACCGAACAGTTACTCTCTGAATGTAGAAATTAGGTCGACTCATACTCATTCCTATTATATTCACCTTAGTGAACGTAGTACTTCTGTTCAGTGCGCTAGGAAGATAATTGCTGAACCTAGTGAGAGGATAGGAGAGGACGATGCTTCTGACTTTTGTATGAAGAGAGCCTCAGGAAAACGTTGTGCATTAGAAGGGGAGGGTTTGGTGAGCAACAGAGTGAGTGGACTGGACAAAGAGGTCATCGCCAACTAGGATATTGCGATTGACCTGGTGTTGCTTTGGGAACGGCTGATTCTTCTCAATGTGTATTTCCAGTACTTATCTCTTAGCAGATTCCCTTGTCTCCATATCATTCGTTCAACTAGGTTGATGAGTAGATGAAGAGCTTCTTTATCCTTGGGGATTTTAACGACGATGTGTAGTTAGCTCCTGCCCTTAGGTACTTTAACCCAGGAATATTAGTCTGTACATTTGTTAGAACTGGTAGGATGAGACATTGAAAGACTTCACGTGTAGGAGGTGTTTAATCTCTGCGATGTTATGTACGTGCAGGGAGCTGTGAATGTTGGCATCTTTAGATTTGTCGCAGAGTTGGCAGGAAGGTGTCAATGGGTTTTCTGAAACCTTACTCTCAGGAGCAGGAGTTTTTGATTGCCTAAATTCCTCCGCAAAAGTTATAGGTGTTCCTTGGAAGGATGTAATAGTTCTCTTCGATTCTAAGCATCATTTCAATTTCTTATTGCAACCCCGTCACACTACTTTTTAGGCCTGAACAGCCTTGTATTGTTTGACCTCTTCCTGGCGTCTTGCTCGATGATCAAGTAATGCACATGTTAATGGAGATGATATTGTGATTTATCTGTCTATCTCATTGGATTGTTTGATTTTGTTTACAGGGCATCATCATGGCCTCCATAGACCTCGACACTTTCTTCGATGGTTTTGGATTGCGACCTGAAACAGTTTTCAAAATCAAGGAGATGGGTTTTACAGCAAAAACACTGATGTCTAACGTTGACGAACTTCCGTCTTTATTAGAGTCGATTAACCAACATCACCTGCTTACGCTCGGGGAGGAATGGGGGATCAAGGGTGCTGCGAAGAAGTGGCAATTAGGTGTGAATTTCTCTTACAGTTCTCGTTGTTTTCTGTTTTCTATCTTCTATTTTCTCTCTTCAGTGCCAAGAACATAAATTCCTAACTTGATTGTCGTCAATGTAGAGGCTCTTGATAAGGCTATTCTGCAATTTCCTGCTGTGTATCCACACATATCTACCTATAGAGCTCTGAGAATAGTCCAATCTGTTGTGTCACATTCTTGTGTATGCATTGTAATGCAGATCAAACATATGCTCCACATCCGGAAGATGAAAAGTGGCCAGAGTCTGAGGATACCTGTAAAGAAGTGGCGTGCATTGGTGAGTCTGTTCAGACATGGTTCCCTTTGCATCTTCGTCTGATCAAATTGGCTCCTATTATTGCTAGTATGTATGGTCTTGCCGTATCGGTTTGCAGAGTTTGCTTTTCCTATTCTTTCTGAAGTTTGCTTTGTTCGATGTAGCTCAAAGTTAGCGCCCAATCGATGCTTACACAGGCTTGGTGCGCAGATAGCGAAGAAGTTACACAACTTGAGCCCTGTTCAAAGTGGATGCAGCAGCAACAACAGGGGCAACAGCTTCCATCATCGCATAATCATTTAGGGCCTTCCAACCTCACTGGTTCTAACTTATCACCATCAAATCAAGGTGTTTCAGATGTAAGTAATTTATTTTGTGCAGTATTCTGTGGCTTCGACTTACTGAAGGCATCTCATTCTCGAATATTCGAGTGCTGCTCTTTTCTTCAATTCATCTTTACTAACATGCAAATCATTGTTTTATCTCAGGTTGGTCCAGGCGGGTCACCGGGAAGGGTGGGCTACTATACGAATCTGCTCTCATACCAATCTCAAGGAAACGCCCGCTTTGATATTATGAGGGAAGTGGATGTCACTTCACAAAGACAACCTCAAATCAAACATTCTTTTGACCATGTTGTGGGGACAACGTTTTAACTTGTGATCTAAGCACTTGCATCATCGTGAACAGCATGGTTCGAAGAGGTTTTCGATTCACAAGAATGAGTTGAGGATGGGAGTAGATTTGAAAATGCTTGTTATCAGCTGCTTTAGTTCAGAGGAGCCGCTTGTGTCTGACAACGAAATGCAGGATTAGGTTACGAGGCGTTATAGCATTAACTATGCACTTGCACATGGTTTCTTCTTGACTCTTTGAACCTCGTTAATCCATACGAGGCTCAATTGTATCAAAATTAGACAGATTCAATGGGATTTTCTGCAGAAAACACAGCAGGTTCATTCTAATGTACATGCCACTTTTTATTCATGCTTTGTGGTTACCTAATAATTGCAGACACAATTGCCAAATATAGTAACGTAGCCAGTGGTTATGTTATAAAAGCACACTGACTGTTCACCGTTGTAATTTTACGGTAATAAATTGCTTCTACATCGCTTACTGCTTTCTCACAATACATCTTGTGTTTTGAAATGAATGCTGTCTATGGGTTGAATTCAGATCGTGTTTCAGGGTCGTCTTCCATACGAATAGCTTCCAAATCTGAATAAGCAACGCAGCAGCGAGAAGCTTATGTACTTACTCTTATCAAAGAGGAAGGTAGTGTTGAAGCGGTGCGGAACTGAGAAGCTGGTGCTTGGAGTTTTGTGATGACATTTATCATTTATTCCACTTTTCAGACATAACAATCAATTGAAATGACATCTGTGCGTATTCAAATTTTAATAAATGGTCTGATCAGTGTAAAATGTAATTAGATTTGAATTTAATTTTTCTGCATATTTGAATAAATAAATAAATTTTGTTGAATATGCAAACAATGGCTTCTGACCATTCCATACTTTATCACATGGTATGGATACTCAACATCATCTTACATCAAGTGCACTTGTGAGAAGCATTTGAAATTAGTTCATTTAATTTCTATGTAAGTTTATGGTTTAAAATAACAACTTATAGAAAACTTGTTGTTTTTACAATGACTTGATTGCATGATTTTTCATAAAGATTTTTTGTGAAACATAAAATAAAAATGTAATAATATTAATGCTACAATCATATTTTTTAAAGTAACATTATATAAATACACATAAAAATGTATTAGTGCTTATTAACAGAAGAGAGAGAATCAGTCATTTAATATTGCAATCTTTGTAATACATCAACTTCAAACTAAAATTTAATCTTCTACATATATATATATATATATATTTATATTTATATTTATTTATTTATTGAGAAAAATGAGTGCTTCAAACTAGTTGGTTAGAAAATTGTATTATGCTTGTCAACATATATTGGTTTATTACTTTAGCAAATTTTCTTTCAACCTAATAATTTTGTTAAATACATATCTTTGGAATTGTGTTAGAATTAACTAGATATAATTATTAAATTAATTGAATAATATATATATATATGGAGTATTTATAATGCCACTACCATTTTTGCTACAATCACCACAATTTTTGCTATTGCCACAACAACCTCCATCTACCACATACCACCTTTGTTTAATACCTTTCAATTTTTTTGATTAAACAAACAAATACCATTGAAATAAAAATAAATAAAAAACAATAAAAAACAATAAAAAACACATATCAAATAAATGATAATTTGTGGTGGTAATAGCAAAAAAATTGGTATCATTTACATACAAATACGATAATTTTAAACTTGAAGTTTATACTTGTTGTAATAAATTTCCTAAAAATTTTATTTATTTAATATGCAACACCATGATTTTAAATAATACTTTAAAATATATTTAAGAGTATAATATACTTATGTTTTGGATGATAGTTGGTCTACACCAAAGTAATTGACTAGATCTAACTTATGAACTACTTAAGTTATTTAGTCCTAAATACTAATGTTTATAGTAAATTATTATCCTTTTATAACTTGTTAGAAATATTGAAAAAAATTATATTCCATTATACAAAAAAATTCCAGTTAAGCCCAACTTTGTTTAAGCGACGACCACTTGGCACATGCCTTTCCTGATTGGCCCGGAGCCTTGTCGTCCCCCTATCACACCGTCTGTGGTTAGAAAGCACAGAAACAACATTCATCCAATACGATAAACCCATTCATTCATCTATTAGAAAACATTCGTCAAATCCAGCTTCCACTCACCACAAGGCTCGGCTGTACCATAGCCACACAACTGCAAAGAAACTCAAGCACCCCCCGTGCCCGAACTCCATCCACCGCTGGATCTGTCCACCCGATCGACGGCCATCTGAAGGCTCCCATCTCAGATAGGCACCTTGACGGCGGATCCAACAAAAATGGAGATAGTTGCATCGAAATTGAAGGAAAAATGAAGATACATAGAAAAAATGGGAGTATCTTCATATGAGGTATCTAGGAAAAGCGAGATGGGGGGTATGGTGGAGGTTAGCGGGACGTGATCCAGAAGCGCAGAGACGGACTCCGGCGAGGAGATTAAAATTCAGAGCGCGATGGGAGTGTTCACAAATCGAACAATCGCGAGCAGTTTCGGTGCAGGGATTCTCCAACCTTGCAGGCAAACTCTCCGGGAACAGTTGGGTACTTGTGTCTGGAGATTCTCAGCCCGGTGACGATGGCGACCAGTGTTGCAGCCATGCAGTCTGTCTCTGTGGCCCAGGTAACTGCGACGATGCGCTAGTGGTCTCTGATTTGGTCGGAGTGTGTTTTTTTCTTGCCTGTGGTCGTTTTGTCGTTGCTTTAGTTATCGAAGGGAGTGGATGTTGCGGTGATCGTGGTGAAGGGGGATGTTGCATGTGTACCCTCTCCGATTGGTCTTAAGTGATGGAAGAACGTTAGCGACCAGAAGTTTGGACATGGAGATTGCTGTTGTCAGAATTGTTGTCCTGGTGTGTCGTGTCCGGATGATTTTGAGGTGAGTTTAGTGTGTGGATTGTAGATTTAGAGATGATTTCGGTAACAAGTAGCAGATTTGTTTTCTCGATTTACTCTTCTCATCGGTGGACATGGCTGGTAATTGAGTACAGTACAGTGGTGAAATTTTTGGATGATTTTGAAAGTCCGGTGACGCACTGTGAGGTCTCCTTTTTTCGCAAGCTGATGCAATGGATTGCAACATGGCCGTGTGTTGCAGATGGACACCAAGGTGTCGACAGTCGCTACCAAGAGCGCTGTGCGCAGCTCTGCGTTCCTTGGCTCTATGAGCAGGGTCTCAGCCAATGTGACTTTGGGCGTTGCTAGCAGCAAGAGCCGCGTCGTGTGCGAGGCCGAGAAGACAGGTGAGCCTCCTAAGAAGGTCGACAGGTGGGCTGGACTTGGCAATGATATCTCCGATGACCAACAGGACATCCAGCGTGGGAAGGGCATGGTGGATGCCCTCTTCCAGGGTGCCGTCGGCCTGGGAACCCAGGTTGTGACCATGAGCTCGTGGGACTACGTCAGCACCGGCCAGAGGACGTAAGCGCTTCGTTCATTGCTGAATTTCCACTCCACTGCTTTGGTGCATCGTCTGAGATGTTGTCTCTGCTGAATTGTTCGGCGAATTGAGCCAAGCTGATTGTACTTGATGTGGCACATCTGCAGTTACAACTTCGACAACATGAAGGACGGTCTGTACATTGCGCCCGCCTTCATGGACAAGCTCATCATTCACATTGCCAAGAACTTCATGAACTTGCCAGGCATCAAGGTGCCCCTTATCCTGGGTGTCTGGGGAGGAAAGGGTCAGGGAAAGTCCTTCCAGTGTGAGCTTGTCATGTCCAAGTTGGGTATTAACCCCATTGTGATGAGCGCCGGAGAGTTGGAGTCTGGAAACGCCGGAGAGCCCGCCAAGCTCATCAGGCAGAGGTACAGGGAAGCCGCAGATGTCATCAAGAAGGGTAAGATGTGCGCCCTCTTCATCAACGATCTCGACGCTGGTGCCGGACGTATGGGAGGAACCACCCAATACACTGTCAACAACCAGATGGTGAACGCCACCCTCATGAACATCGCCGACAGCCCCACCAACGTGCAGCTGCCCGGAGTGTACAACAAGGAAGAAATCCCTCGTGTGCCAATCATCGTGACAGGAAACGATTTCTCTACCCTCTACGCGCCCCTCATCCGTGACGGACGTATGGAGAAGTTCTACTGGGCGCCCACCCGCGAGGACCGAATTGGTGTGTGCAAGGGTATCTTCAGACTGGACAACGTCAGCGACGACAACGTCACCAAGCTGGTCGACTCTTTCCCTGGCCAATCCATTGGTAATCCTCAACCTTTGCACTGCCTAAGATTTCACTGGCCTGATGTTTGATCGGATCCTAGCTCATCAAGTGGTACAAAACAGAAGTCGGGTTGCTCTATCTTACATGAATGTTGGATGGCGCAGATTTCTTCGGTGCTTTGAGGGCTCGTGTCTACGACGACGAGGTCAGGAAGTGGATCTCAGCCACTGGGGTGGACAACATTGGAAAGAAGTTGGTGAACTCAAAGGACGGTCCCCCTACCTTTGAGAAGCCCGCTATGACCATCGAGAAGTTGATGGAGTATGGAAATATGTTGGTGCAAGAGCAGCAGAACGTGAAACGTGTGCAACTCGCCGACCAGTACTTGTCCTCTGCTGCCCTCGGAGACGCAAACGCCGACGCCATTAGTCAGGGAACTTTCTACGGCGGTGGCCAAGCTGCTGCATCTGAGTAGAGAATTACTTCAGCTCGGTGGTCGTAGAGGCGTGTGTAAGGCATGTGAAAGTTGTTCCAACCCAATTGCGTAGGGCCCGTTTCTCATGCCTACTGTGACCTTTAGATTTCGAATGCAACTCCTGGGCTTTTGTAGTTTTGCCCTAGATGTGCATTGATCCCATCAGACGTGGAGTGATTTATTTCTATGTAGCTCTTCCTTTTTCTTTCGACTGAGTTCATATCTGGTTTGGAGTCTTCACTCTGCAGTGGAAATGTCCATCCCATATCAAATCGAACTGTTGTGAAGTAGCCCAAGGCATAGGTGAGCATGATGCACTGGCAGAGATATATTATACGCTAGGCACTTGAAGGCGTAGTTTGTTATTTTCAAGTAATGATTTTAACATGAAATTTGTATTTTTTTTTCTCGTATCTATTACGCTATTGAATGTTCCCTTCCGTTTCGTGGGAAAAGCAGACAATTCCACTCCGCTATGTTAATTCCTATAAATTCATCCTGTAGCATTTTGCATACTGTCAGCGCAATCAACCACTTCGTAAATGTTTTTTCGGATCACAACCACTACTACAAACAACGTGAAGTAGTCAACACAATCTTTCTAATATGTGAATTATCTCTTAATGCCGTACACCTTTCCACAATTTACAAAAACATTCTAAACATAGTAACTTACTTACTTATCCACATACCACATCGTCCATGTCAGCGAGCAGCACGATTAATTAGCACTTAGATTGTGCAAACCCCCAAAGAAGACAACAAATTTGGAAACCATCCAATCTTCACCCCACCACCTTCTCGTACCTCCGTCCACAAAAGTGACCGTCATCTCCAGCCAGTCCGATCAGGACAAGAGTCCTGCTTCACCTGACAACGCCAGTCATTACTTGTGGCCTCCTTAAGACATCAATTTTTACCCACATGTGGCAGATTTCTTCGCCTATCCTTATCCGTCGACTGATTCGTCCCCTCAAACTTTTCCCAGTAGTGTTATTTCCTATTTCAGGAACAAATTTGTATGCAATTTCCGACATCAGACGTCGCTGGCGGCCTCGAATTATACACCACTCAAATATCTCTTCGATTTACACTTTCGCATTGGTCCATTCGGTCTCCCGATTCCCATTCACAAGGTGCAAATCAGAAGGCTGTAAGAGCCTGCTGGGTAGCAGTCCGCTATCGGAGTCCAGGGTGATTTTACACCATTTGATATTTTATTGAGTATCAGAAAGTCTTTCTGGTAGTGAAGACCATTCGGGGTAAACTTTCTCAAATCCAGGTATAAATGCCTTATCAAAAATATTTTGTTTCCAACATGAAGTATTTGTGCCCATTTTCTAATAATAGATTTCCAAATACTTATATATAAATATATAAACGAAATAGCCCAATGTCATATCCTTTAAGCTTGTATACACTCTCCAAACTTATTCAAGATAGCTTCTTGTTTTTGTGGCATTCAAAGGAAGCTATGAATATTTTTATTTGGAGCTAAACTATTTTCACTTTTTTCTATTCTTTTTCTTTCTTTCTTTCTTTATTTTTGGCACCACTTAAATAATTATCAAAAATATTTTCCTATTATTATTTGAGTTATTAAAATGAGGATTATCTTGGTTGGTAGAAAGGTTTTTGTTATTATATAGCCTCCTTAATTGCACACTAATCTACTATAGTTTGATCTCAATTGATCTAAGCAAGGCAAACCAAGTATGTTTTGCAACACCTACATATTGAGTAATAAATTAGAAGACCACTATGAGTAATTGAGTAATAAATTATTTTTTATGTTGTAAAACATCCAATTCAATCCCTACTTTTAGAAAGAAAGATTTTTTTTTCTCTTAACATATTATGTTATTGTCTTTGAAGAAAATAAATAAGGGATTCTATGAATATTTATATTGAGAAGAAATTTATAGTGTTGCTTAGGTTCATTCAAGATTGTAGATGATTAGAGCCATTGAACAAATTTTTGATTTTAAAGAGTTCCTTAAAATGCAATACATCCTTACATCCAAGTCAATGTATCTATTCCTAAGGAAAGGGTGATTTGTTTCAAACTTCAAAAAATAATTTGGAAGAATTTAAATAAATAAATAATACAATGGAAATCCAAAATTTACCTACTTTATTTCAATTTTGGACGAATTACTCTATATATAATTGGATACTATTGAGCATGCAAAATCTAACTATCACTTTATCCTAAGAAGTATATTAAGATAGAATTATTATATATCTTAAATTTTATTGGATAATAAGTTCATTAAGAAAGTATTTACAACCTTTTTATTAAGTAGATTCTTTATTACTTCTTTAGGATCTGTAATTTATTATTATTTATTTATTTATTTTTAGATTCATAACATATAGATCAAGAGATTTTAAAGTTTATTAAATATTTACGCTTTTTACAGATTTTTTAATACCAATATTGTATTTTTACAAGTTTCTTTGTTAGGGATTGTTTATATAACCATAAAGAAATTCTGAAAGAAAGAAGTTCACCTTTAATAATTATAAATCCTCTAGCAAAATGAAATTTTGTAAAGCATCAACACTCTAAATTACACTGAATTCTATATCTTATTATTATTATTATTGATATCTTGAGTTTGTTAAAATAATCCAAAACAATTTTTTGCATATTGACATATTACTGGAAGATTTAAAATTTAAAGAATATTTACGCTACTTAGTTTTATTTTTTCTTAACATCTTCTTAGATAGTCACATTCAACATTTTTTCAACTATAATAAATAAATAATAATACTATAAATTTTTTTATGCCATATTTAACAAAAAATAGTTTTCTTATTAAAAATATATATTCCAAAAACATGATTAGTCTCTTAAATAAATTTGATTATTAAAAAATTGAAAATTTCAAATTTTACTTCAAATTGAAATAGAAAATTAGAATTTAATTTGTCATGAGTATTAGAAAAATTAAGTATGAAAAAAAATAGTGATTTTTTGGAAATCTTTGCATAGTTAGGTATTTTAAAAAATAACCATCATATTATTATAAATATAGAACCTTGGACAAAAATTCAAAATTTTTAAATATTTGAAAAATGACTTTAATGAGCACTGATTCTAATTTCTTTTTCCATGTTAATTTTCATAAATTTTATATGAAGTATGTAGTAAGATAATAATATACTTCATAGCACATTGCAAGAAAGTATATTTAAAATAGCTGCTCATTCTTTTAAATAAATTAAATTTTCCTCATAAGTAAGACATATCAAAGGTCAAATCATACGTCCGAGTGTCCACTGCTGATGTCCAGACTGTCTCGTATCTGTAGATATCAAGTTGTGATGGTCATTCGCCGAGTATATGAGGCTTGAAGTCGCACTCACCTTGGTTTCCTCGCCCGATTCCGTGTGCACACGACCAATTAGGGTTTCATGACGATTGATTGCATCGTCAGCAGATCGAGAGATTGAGTTGCTGCAGATTGCGCGAGCTGGAACCCCGAGGTAGTTTTGCTGGTACGCATTTGCAAGCAGGACGGCTTGAGTTCTTCAGCTGTAATTAGTGTCTCGGCTCCGTAATTTGTTTTAAGGATTTTAGACGATTCAATGCGCTCTTGCTTCTGCTCTCATGCCTGCCCTACCCAGCAATCGACGGTTTGACACCGATCGGAGGGTTGACACCCTTGCCGGAGTGTGAGATAGCTTACTCATTTACTTGAGTTTCGAGGTTTTGAGTTCGTCCATGACTGTTGAGCGCTCTTTAAGTTGGGTTTACAGATTCCTTTTTCCGAGGTAGTAGCATTATTGGAATTAGTAGATTAAGTAGACAATGCCACCAATGATAAGTTTACATGGTCTTTGCTAATTGGAATTGAAGGCTGTCGAACATCATGCGTCTCTGCGTACGACGAAGTGGTAATTTGGGTTGCAATTCCCGTAAATGGGTCTGATTAATGGTTTTGATGTTATACAATGGTGCACAACATGACATTGTGATGAATCACGATTTTATATATGTTTAAGAGTCGATTATTGCTGGAGTGCTTGATCCCTTGAGATGGCTTTTGAGCATACTTGAACTAAATTAACATGACGCACGTGTCACCGAGCTTTGTTAAAGAACAGTGCAGGTATAGAAGTTTCATTTTTCATTTTTCCATCTTTCATTTTATAATGTTACTGTAGTATCTGCTGATGTTGGTGTTTGCATTTCGTTTTATGGACGTGTGGACAGGCGTTTGACTTGCATTATACTGTTCGCCTGTACATGAGCTTTTCTTAAAACCAAGAGCAGGAGAGATTTGCAGGTTGGGGCTTGTGTTGACGAGGCCATAATGCAAACAATGATTGATCTGGCAATGCCATCAATCCATACCTCTGGTGGCTTGGCATGTATGATTGGTAGTACTCTGGCATGCAGGTTTGAGGTAGCTGAGTTCTTTGTGAGCTGGCAAGGAGTGCTCACACTTGCATTTACTGGATTCCCAGATGCTCTTTTAGAGGTAAGGAGTTGGTCCTTTGAAAACGAATCTCAATGTCCTTCTGGTTTTGGTCGTTATGTGCTTTCAAAGTCCATTTCTTTTCGTATTCGCAAGTTCTTGTGAATTTTTAAGCTGATCTCATAGTGTATTGGTATTGAAGCATTTCCTGTGCGTGATTTGTGTTTAGTTTCGTGTCTGTTACGCAGAAGCAGGGCTTTCAATGTGAGGTTTCGAATGTGTGTTTGACATTATCGTCCTTGAAATGCTTGATCAGCTTAAAACCCAAGTCGAAGAGTTTTACCCTGGTGTAATGAAGGAATTCCCTGGATCTAAGTGGCCCAAAGTCAGCATTGGATGCCTTCGCGATAATAAGCGTCTTAGTAGATTAGATCTCGAAAGGCTGCGTGACATCTGCAGGTAGCTTTCAATTCCCCCATAAATTATCAAGAATGGAAATCCTCGGGGCTTCTCGGTTTGGTGGATTGTCTTGTTTCTTTACCCAATCCTTGTTCGCTATCCCCGCAATAGAGTCTCGCGTATTTGAAAGTTGAGTGGTGCTTGAGGTGATTTAGAAGACATGTGGCTATGCGTGACAAGTTTTGTAAACTTTGTCTACGCCAAAATACATCCACAGTCAGTTGTACTTTTACGTAAATTACTCCGTTTAGGAAAGGACGTTGATTGAACTTCTGAATTTAGTGGTTGATGGATCTTGCAGTGAAGAGAACTCGTACCTAATCTCTACGACTCCACCGGTTGAAGTGGACAAACTCTCAATTGTTCTCTTTTCAAATTGCTGCCTTGAACAAACACTAATGACAACAGATGTCACTCTCGCTCTTCCAGCTGATTTGAGGCCACCCAACAGCGAACATCGCGCCAGTGTACGATCTGTTCTGGATGAATTTCGTCGAGAAAATCTCGACAATTACTATTTCAATGCCTCTAAAGATGGTATGTTTCCACCCACGAATCTGGAAGGGTTCTGTTCAGAAATTAAAGCACAATCATTGCTCTGTTTAGAAATTGCGGGTAGAAATTATTAGACATGATATTCATTACTTCGCCCTATGTGCTTGGCTCAATCTTTTATTTTTGTAAGTCCAGATTAATAAATCTGAGTGTCCTCAATAGGCGACAACTTCTACTTCTGTCTGAAGTTCTCTCCTCTTTTTAACAGGCAACCGGTCAGCTCATTACAGAGGGTTCAAGGCCGGTGTAACACTTGTTCACTTCCTAACCAGCATTCCTAGAGCGATTGCTAGATTTAGGGAGCGCGTGGAGAGAGAGCTGCCCAACATGTATGATTGGTTTGCTGATCGTGCTCTCCACATTACAGTGCGAGCAATCCTATGATTAATCACTGATGGGATAATCTGGTTTCATGTCAGCGCTTCATACCTTGATACCTTGGACACACTGCACTGCTACAAAGTGGATGATATCTCAAAAACTTGATAACATGCCTGATTTGTGTGCACAGAGACGAATAGGCAGAAGTTATTGCTAGTGCTTGGTTTCCGTGAGCAGTCGATCTTTTCGATCTACTGCATCATGAATGACTTCCTAATAAACCACATATCTTCAGTCTATGAAGACCTACAACAATATAGAATGTGCGTCCTCTCGACTGCCCAACAATTTGGGATGGAGTGGAGGATCATGTTCCATCAAGATAGTTAATTAAATGAATGAATAAATGAACATAGTTTTGAACTAGAATTGATTTAATGTATTATATAAGTATATTAATTTACTGCAATCAATGATGCATGCTATGTTTTATATATGGCCTTTAATATGCAAAAAAATGATGTTTGTGACTAAGTATGATACAGTTTTTCTTTTTCTTTTTCTGTTTTCTTTCCTTTACATTAGTATCTTAGAACGGGTTATCATCTTAAAAACACCATCATATAAAAATAATAAATTTTCTAACAATAATGACATAAAGAATAAAATATGAAAGTTGTAGAAATTGATTATGTTATTTCTTTTTAAATCCAAAAACTCATTCAAATGAAGAAAAAATCAATCTTATTTAGTTTGAATACCATTAGTTTTTGTTAGAAATTATTTAATAAAAAATAAAATAAAAAGCCAACTATGCCGTAAGTTTGTTTTCAGAATTAAAACATAAATACCAAGTCAATGTTTTGAATAAATATACGAATTAACAATATCTCATATCTATCTATATATATATATATATAGAATGACCATTTTGAAGGTGTACCCACATCATAGTCTACATTACGAATAAAATTGCCACATGAAGCATATTTGTGTGAACTGAATACCGCCGATGGTGTTTCTCATCCTGTACATTCATCCATATCGGTCATCATTCAAGTCCAACCCCACCGAAGACTGATTGCGGTTGAAATACGCACTCGTTGCCTTTTCGATTTGTCTCGGGACTTTATTACTCGTCGTTCCCGTTGCCAACGTCTCGCAGCCCAGCGACGATTTCTTTTCATACCATGCAGGATTGCTTCACCATCATCATTTCTTTGTCTCTGTTTCCAGTGCCAGAGACTGACTGCACACCCTGCGCAGCCACTGTCGATCGATCCGTTGTGAGCGGACACCGATATGGTATACGTTGGCGATAGTTGCTGTTAGCTAGCTGCGAGGATCGGCCGCGGATCCACCCGTCGTCATGTTCTGTGCAGAAAATCAATCGTGTCTATCGGCTCCATCGGCAGCATGAGCAGTTCTCGAGGTTAGAGCTGGAGATTGCTCGTGCGCGTTTAAATCTCTCCCTACGGTCTGGTCTGTGCGAGGAGCATTGATGAAATTTGGTCGGAGTTTGGTGAGTCATCGGGATTTAGAAGTGTGAAGTATATGTGAGATGACCAGCCCGCTAAGTAGAAGTTCGTACATTCGGGCACATCCAGTTCCTACTCTGCATGTTTTGAATGTGTTGGCTCGATCGTCAACGTAAGTATGAATCCATTGCTGCGCAAGAGAGCCTCGATGTTTTTGATTATTGCTAGGAATTTTCAGCATTCGTAAACGCGGATTTCGGTGGCCAGCATTCTGTGAGGAACTGCGTTTATTTCCGGAAATGATAGTTTGAGTTGAGGATCAAACAATGGCGCAAGTGGATTCGCCACCGAGGACGAACTTGGCCTTGCAACCGTCGCCTGTACTTATGGAAGCAGTTCTAAAGGTATGGTCTATTGTTCGTACTGAAATGCTGCTCTTGAAGTTTGACAAATTAAACTTCGAGCATTCTTTGAGTGTAGTTATCTTTTGAGGCCTCTCCTTTGAACGCACCTGTGAAGTTAAACTGCCATTTTCTTGTGAAAGAATAGTGACTGTTATTTCAAGTGTACACGATCACCATTGCAAGTCAGCAAGTTTAATACTAAGAGAAAAGGAGAGGATTCTGCAATGTTCAATGGTGACTTTTGGCTTTGAAGAGCGAACACTCCACTTAAGAACTTTCTGGTAAAGGACTGTCGATTGGCAGTGAGACTAAAGCATTATGACAATATAGTAGATATCGCAACTTTGTGCCTGGAGGTAGCTTGTTCTTGCGATTGCGACAGGTCTCTCTCCACGAGACACAGATTATTACATAGATCTTTGACACAGTCTAAATGATAACAACTGCAGAAGTGAAATTTAGCCAATTTAGGATTGCTTGGGTACAGGTTGATCAGGTTGTTGCTCGTCTTCAAAAATTCCAAACTACTATTTCCAGGGTACACTCGAGTCCGGTAAATTCGAAACACACTTGGATCTCCGGAGCGAATCGCTTTGGAGAAAAGAACGCTGGGCCAGTTGGATGTCATGGTAATTTGCATTGTAATTGTATTATGCCTTCAGTTTTCTACTTCATCTTATGACGACTTGGATTGTAGCGTTGGTGGACACTAGTAAGTGATGCAACTTAGATTGTTGCTAGCAACATCATTTGCAGAAAGGTCACCACATACCACCCTGCGGAACTCTTCTGCTGACGATTCTGTTATTGTTTTAGGATTGACATCTTGATTGTATCTAAATCATCAATATGTCTGTATGATTTTGGTTCAGATAACCACCGTTGGATATCTCTGAATGATCACAAGGCTGATAGCAGAGTCCAGTCGAAAATACAACCGGAAGCGACAGGTTTTGCCGTTTACTTCCTCTTCCAGCTTTAATATTTAATTATATTTCCTTTTTATTCTAATAATTTTTATGAACCTTATTGTCGAAACAGTCTGACAACCCTTTAGTAAGTTTCCGGTCGAGCCCATGGCGTTGATGCAGTTAATAATAGCCAGCGATAATGCGAGTCTCCGTCCTGCTGACTACCGTTAGTACTTCGTATACACTAGTTCTCTTAGCGTCACTATCTCTTTTGCCTCATTTCGAGTGTCCCGTCCTAGGATAATGAGTACTTTTAACTCATCAACTTCAGCCATTTCGTCTTCAGCTGAGAGGAAGCAGTGGTCATCACCTGCTGACCAGGCACTCGATGTTATGTCAGAGATACTAATGGCTAGCCAATTTACAGAGCAATTTGCCAAGTTCTGTGCGGAAGAAATGAGACAAGACGGGCTTCGGAAGGCCCAGGAACCTGCTGATGAGAGTCCAGAGCTGGAGAAGCGGTTTGGCAAAGATATCAAGGGAAGAGATATTGCGTTTCCAACCAAGGCTCAAGTGCAGAAGACCATGCGCGCCAAATCTTCCTCATTACGACCCTTAAGTGGGTTCAAGGTAGGAGGTTTTCCTTCTGATGTCACTGTCAAACTGTTTCCACCCGCAAAGTTACATCGCGGAAGAGACCCTCCGAGCAAGGATAATAACAAGCGTAATTGCGGTCGTGCTTCTTCACACGGACGGAGAGTGAAAAGTTGTAGCCGGAGCAATTCTTCATCACCGAAACCTCTCGTTTCACGACCACTGCGTTTGAATGCAGAGAGCCCTGAAACAAAGCGAGGAAGACTTTTCAGCTCGCCATGTAAAAGTTTCAGGGAATCTGCAAATGATGCAGACGACGAGCTTCTAGGCCCTAGGCGCTCAATGACTGTGACTGAAATCAGGGGCTCTATGAAACTCTGGATGCTGACACACACTGAGGGAATGCTGTTTTCAAATACTCTGAATTCACTTTCCCCTCCTAGAATTTCTGCGGACAGGCTCACACCTGCGAAGATTGTTTCTACAATAGGGAGGCGAAAGAGCTGTCTTACTCATCCTTTTCCAAATTCTCCTGAACTTGCTGAAAGAGAGTTAACGAAACTTCGCATCACGACATCAGCAAACCCCCTTTTGCAAACCATCTCCAAAACTACCTTCAAAAGAGAAAGTCCTACCAAGGTTGCATCTAAATCTCTCGTTCTCACTAGAGCGATTAAACGAGAAAACAAGGCACGAAAGGCTGCCATGACCCGGGCCGTACGACACGTCGAGATGGCGTCCGTGGGTGGACCCCAGAAGAGTTCCACAGTGACTATGCTTGACCTCCTCCAAATAAAGTCTCCATCTCATCTTCCAGCCACTCCGGTTGTGCTTTCGGACCAACCCTCAAGGAAGTTGATGCCATTGGATGTAAATACCAGCGTCTCGAATAGGCCTGTTGTGATGGATAGGTCTAACAAACTAGCAGAAGACTTTCTATGCAGAGCATCTCACTCTCATGCCAACGCCTCTGCTAAGGCGGAGATTCCCGGACATAAACCTAGCAGACCTTTTGCCTGTTCCATGTACGGCAGTTCTGTTGATAACTCTGTCAAGGAAAACATCCAGGTACCATGCGTGCCCGTCGCCGCATCGTTCCTGCGGAACATGTCGAGTACACCCACTCCCAACCGCAGTCTGTCACGAAAAAGTCCAGGTATTCTCCGTGTTTCTTCGTTTTGAGCATGTGTTTTTTCGGTGCGGGTATATCGCCATTACAGTCCGAGCTTAGGCAGTATTTCTTGCCAACGTCAGCCACCCTGAATTCTCGTAGTTTGAATTGCGTCGCTGAGTAGTCAGGTTAGGCCAGCCTTGTGAAACGTATCACTACACATCCAGCAATATGCTGTTTTCTAAACGATGCTTTGATCTGTGCACAGGGTTCTCGCTCATACATCGCGCTAAAGTGTGGGTGTCATCCCAAGCCGTCAAACAAGGAAAGGTCCTTCATCTGGAGAGGTGATTCTTTATCTTAGTGCCTCACCTCTGTCCATAACCGCAGGAGAGCAAGGTCTGCGCCGCCTCCACACATAGGTGTAGCAACGCATTTTGTTGCAACTGATTACCGTGGTAGAATAATTTTATGTATATTTGCCTTCCTTATACAAACATAGATGCTAGCCCTGCTGTGGAGACGATTTTCCAACCTTGGGAAAGCTAATCGTAGCCAAGCCATAGTGTTGTAATTTTATGGCGTGACTCGTCATGAATGGCTTATGATGAAATCTTGAGTATCATTAACGGGATTGCCTGCAATTGAATTCGATTTCATAGAAGATTTTAAATCCAGCTTTGGTGAGAACTCTCACGTTGTCGGCACTGTTTTTGTATGTTTGCTACATTGTTTAAATTTGTTTAGCCTTAGCATAAACTTGGAATATGAGGCTGTTTTAGATGTACGCTTTTTAGAAGTTAGGATTCAAAATTAACTACTAATGAAGTTTGAAAAGAAATTGGAATTTGTTTAGGATTTAGTATTTGTTAAATATTCAGTATTTACTGGGACTTTAGAATCTACAAAGATATTGACTTGTTTAAGGTGAGAATTTAGCTTAGAATTAAAAAACAATTTGTAATTTTTTAGATTGGTTTACAATAGAATTAGAGAAAGGTGGGATCCTAAGTTACAAGTAGATTTTGATAAAAAATTAAAATATATATTTAATTAAAAGAATCATATTACAAAAAATAATCTTAGAAGTTAATATATATTTTAAATAAATTATATATATATATATATATATATGTATATGATGTTTAATTTTTGAGATAATAGATATTATATAGAGTGAATAATTTTTTTATTTATATATTTGTATGTATGTATAGGACAATGTTAAAGTGATCTAGATTCTTACTAGATCAATAAATCCTGAACATTATTGCACCTTCTTGTCATACATCTTAATTTTCCATGTTTTCATCTTCTATCTTGTTTTGACCTTTTAAACCCCATTCCAATCTATTCAATCCTATTCTTTATATTGAGCCCATTTTTATAATTTTGTTGTTATTGTTTGTGTATTCAAGCCTTTTTCAAGGAGATATAAAAGATAGTATGTAGGTTGGTTATATCTCTTAAGTACACTTGATGCAAGAGCTGAATTTCCTCTAAATTCTAAGATTGTGGCTTTGTTTGTAAGCACCTTGACTTCTAAATTTGTAGAATTCAACTCTTCATGCCTTGAAGTAGAATTGAAGATGCACTTAGTAGGTTCATTTTCTCCTTTTAATGTACCATAGAATTTATGTACATATAACCTTCAATAGGTTTCTATGAAGCAGACTCAATAGTAAGCATAAAATTTATTAATTGAATAATATCAAGTATGGCGGTATCTCAAGTATATTACTTGATTTCTTATTTAATCTAAGATCATCACCTTTCATTTGTCTTTCAGTTATAGGAGTAACTTTTGATAATTTTTGATAATTTTTTATATTCTTTTTAGAAATATTGTAGAGAAATATTTCTACAATATCAACATTATATGACTATATTATTGTGAAGGATAAGAACTTGATAAAAAGAAATAAACAAGTGAGACTTCTCTCAAAGAAAGATGACAAAATAGAAATAATTCAATATGTATATTAAGAAAGAAAGTATAATGGCTATTGTCAAAAGACAAGAAAATTAGAGATCCTTGAAACTAAACTAGAAGTAAGAAAGGAGTTGATAAGAGTGAAGAAGGCTTCACTCTTGTCTCTATATATACTAACTAACTAGGGACTATGTGGCGATGCTCTATAGGACCTCCAATATGTGTTGACTTTGTAGGATACATGCCTTGACTTATAAGACAAGTTTTTCTACGTGTGGACCACATAGTTAGTTTGGTCTTCAAGCTAACAATACGTGTGGCACATGGCTAACTTATTAACTACGTTTCTAATCCAAAAAGTCAATTAAAGACACTTACAAAGTCAAAGCAACATCTATATAACTTCTAGGAAGCTTCCATAGCAAATATTATAGAATTAACTTACTTTTATTTATTTTTTACTTACTTCTACCTATTTATATATGTAATTACTGGCTTACATGTGTATGTCTATGACATTACCTTCCCTTCTATGGATGAGTTCCACGAGGAGTGATCATCATATGTTAAGAAAATCTATGATGCGACGAATTGTATTTGCCACATACTCTGATCATTGTTCTCTTCAAAGATGATTGATAGGGCCTCTCAACCATTGATAGTCTCGCATACCGAGGCAGGAAGACCACCTAGTTATTTAATTGTTATTGAGGCCTTCATAACTTCCTTCAAATAAAACATTTGGGATACCGTCAAGAGCTGCTCCTACCTCTAGTAAAATCACAAAACATTGGAAGTCCCTTCCAAGATCGTGATACCAAATGCGTTGTATTTCACCATTCATTCAAGGAAGAATATATTATTCTTAAAGATCTTCATCTTGATTGTGTCATCTTGAAGGTTGTGACAATCGTAATGTTAGCAAATGAAGGCTCTTTAGTCGAATCTGCTAGTTATTAGTTCTCCATCTCATCAATGTCACAACTACAAAGAAGCTACAAATAAAGATTGAAAGTAGAATGTTATCTTGCTTAGATTTTGTTTCTTTCATAAAGAAGGTTTTCATCTTGATTTTGATGGATGTCATCAGTGAAAAGCCTCCACTGTCTTTACTACATTTGTAAGATTCTTTACTGGCTCCCATGTGCATTCACTAATATCATATCCGTGCCAATGGATAAGATATTTCAATTTATTTTGACGCCGCCTTAAATCTAAGACTTCTTCTACTTCGAACTCTTCATTATTCTCCACTTCAATAAGAGGAGGTGGAGCTTATTTTCTTCTTGGTATGTTCACTGTCTTGTATGGTTCAAGAAGAGATACGTGGAATATTGGATGGATTTTCATTGACTCCGACAGGTATAAATGATATGCAACTAGATTGATTTATACAAAAATAGAAAATGGTCAAAGCCTTCGACAATCCAACTTGTCACAAGGATGAATGGTCTTGATATTATGACAAAGTAACCATACCTTGTCTTTCATATGGAATGGTGGTTGTTTCTTTGGATAGACATCTGCATTGACTTTTTGTTGTTCTTGAGCTTCTTTTAACTATGCCTTCATTGTTGCATGTAGCTCTGATAAATGAATTACCAAATCTTTTGCTACAAGATTATCAACTTTTGAAAAGTCAAAAGTATCAAGTCGTGGATGATAACCATAATTGACAAAGAAAGGTGTTTATTTTGTAGAAGAATGTAGTGTATTATTATAAGCAAACTCTGCCATTGGCAAAAAAGTTGTCCAATCATCTTGATGGTAATTGATGGTACATCTTAAATACTGCTCCAAAACTTAATTAACACACTCTGTTTGTCCATCAGTTTGAGGATGGAATGTCGAAAATAGTTTTATATCCACTTTTAGAATCTTGAAAAGAGTCTGCCAAAATCTTGATACAAATTGAGTTTCCATATCTGATATAATATCCTTGGGTAATCCATGATAGCGATAGATATTGTCAAGAAAGAGCTTAGCTATTTCTTCACATGTGATGGATTTTGTACATGGTACAAAATATTCCATCTTGGTAAAATGATCTAATATCACGAATATAGAGTCATAAGAACTTGAGATTGAAAGATCTATCATGAAATCTATAGAAATAGAAGACTATGGTTGTTCTAGAATGGGTAATGGTTGAAGAAGTTTGTAAGGTCAATGACGAGGAGTTTTTGATCTTGAGCAAACATCACAAGATTTTACAAAATCTTTGACTACTTTTCACATTTGAGGCCACCAAAAATCCTTGAATATTAGTTCCAAAGTTTTATTGTATCTAAAATGTCATGCTACTGGAAAGTCATGACAAGCTTGAATAACACATAATCGAGCTTTACCTTTTTGAACATATAGGGGTCCCTCAAAATATAGTAGATTATTCTTGAATTCAAACTTGGAAGTATTATGAGACTTTGAAGGGTTTTTCTTAATATCACAAATAAGACGATCAGAAGACATATTTGACTGAACTTGCTTAATGAAAGTTGAATCAATGGTTAGTGTTGATTTCATTACTCAAAGATGAAGATGCTCTAGCTTCAAGAGAATTGTCTATTGTTGATCGAAAGCAGCATCTCTTTCCTTTGATATAAAGTAAGATCGTCTAGAGAGTGCATCTGATAAACCTTGTTGTTTTCATGGTCGATAAGTGATCTTGAATTTGAATCTTAACAAAGACATATTCCAACAGGCTTGGCAATAATTCAAAATACGTGCTAATATAAAATATTCAAGATTCTTGTAATGTGTATATATGGTGACTAGGCTAGAAGCACCTTCTAGATAATGGCACCATTCTTGAAACAAATCCACAATTGAAAGAAGTTCTTTGTCGTGGATCTCATGGTTGATTTTGGTTGCTGAAATTTTTTTGGAATGAAAAGCTGTTTGATGAGATTTATCATCTGTTCCCATTTGTGACAATATGACACCCAAAGCAAAATTTGATGCGTTTGATTCTATAAAAAATTGCTTAGAAAAATTATCGCGATACAAGATTGGTACAGAAACAAAGGTTGTCTTTAAAGCTTCAAATCCTACTTTTGCTTCTTGATTCTATTGAAGTTTGTCTTTACAAGTCAAACGTATAAGTAGAGCTGCAACTTGAGAGAAGTCTTTGATGAAGATCCGATAGTAGTTGACAAATCCCAAAAAGCATTGGACATCTCTTACCATTTTTGGGATCTTCCAATCTATAATAATTTGAACTTTCTTAGGATCCATTATAAGTGCATCATTTGAAATGATGTATCCTAAGAATTCAACTTGAGTAGTGTGAAATATACACTTTTCTATGTTGGCATAGAGTCCCGCATCTCTTAGTTTTTGTAATACGTGACAAATATGAAGTTCATATTCTTCTGTGTTTTTAGAATAGATTAAGATGTCGTCTAGGTAACAAATAATAAAATCATCTAAAAACTCTCAAAAGACATCATTCATTAGATATTGGAATGCTGCTGGTGTATTTGTAAGTCCAAAAGGCATGACATTGTATTCAAAATATCCATACCTTGTTTGAAACGCAATCTTCTATTCATCTCTTTTTTTGATGCGTACTAAATTATATGTTCCTCGTAGATCTATTTTTGTATAGATCTTAGCTTGATTCAACTGATCAAGGAGTCGAGATATCAAAGGTAGCGAGTACCTGTTCTTGATGGTGATTTTATTGAGTCCTCGATAATTGACAGACATCTACAATGATCCATCTTTTTTCTTCATAAATAAAAT